TTGTTAGAGATTAGTATGGCCACACCTGCTTGTTTCTTAGGTCCATTTGCTTGATAAGCATTTTCCCAGCCCTTTACTCTGAGTAGTTGCCTGTCTTTGTGGTTTAGGTGTGTTTCTTGTAAACAGCAGACTGGTGGATCCTGTTTTCGTATCCAGTCTCTTAGCCTGTGCCTTTTTATAGGTGAGTTGAGTCCATTGACATTAAGTGATATTAATGACCAGTAGTTGTTAACTCCAGTCTTTTTTTTAGTTGTAGAGTTTGTGTGTTTCCCTCCTTTGATTTTTGTTGGTGAAGGGTCTCTAGATGTCTGAGTTATTATGGTCATTGTTGGACTCCTTGGTTAGTGATTTTCCTTCTATTATTTTCTGTAAGGCTGGATTTGTGGCTGCGTATTGTTTAAATTTGTTTTTATCCTGGAAAATTTTGTTTTCTTCATTTATAGTGAATGAAAGCTTGGCTGTGTACAGTAGTCTGGGCTTGCATCCATGGTCTCTCAGTTTCTGCAGTACATCTATCCAGGACCTTCTGGCTTTCATGGTTTCCATGGAGAAATCAGGTGTAAGTCTGATAGGTTTACCTTCATAAGTAATTTGGCCTTTTTCCTTTGTAGCTCTTACTATTCTTTCCTTATTTTGTATGCTTTGTGTATTGATAATTATATGGCGAGGGTTTTTTTTTTCATACAGCCTATTCGGTGTTCTATGCTTCTTGAACCTTCATAGGTATATCTTTCTTTTTGTTGGGAAAGTTTTCTTCTCTAATTTTATTAAATATATTTTATGGACCATTGAGCTTCACCTCTTCTCCTTCTTCTACTCCTATTATTCTTAGGTTTGGTCTTTTTATTGTGTCCCAGATTTCCTGAATGTTTTGTGATGAGAGTTTGTTGAACTTTGATCAGTGTGTTTATTTTCTCTATGGTATCTTCAGAATTTGAGATTCTTTCTTCTAACTCTTGTATTTTGTTGGTTATGCTTGTTTCTGTAGTCTCTGTTTGTTTACTTAAATTTTCCATGTCCAGCCTGCCCTCTGTTTGTGTTTTCTTCTTTGCTTCCATTTCAGTTTTCAAGTCTTGAACTGTTTCCATTATCTGTTTGATTGTTTTTCCTTGGTTTTCTAGGATATCATTCACTGATTTATTCAATTCTGTTATATTTCTCATCCATTTCCATAAAGGCGTTTTTTACATGCTGTTTAAGGTCATCAATCACTTTCATGAAGTCAATATTTCTACTTCTTCTTGATTAAGGTGTTCATGCCCTCCTGTTTTGAGGTCGCTGTTTTCTTGTGTCTTCATGTTGCTTTTCAGCATGTTGGGCGAATTCTTCCCTTGGTGTCTGCCCATCTCTTCTTCCATATGATCCCTTATGGATCTTCTTTTACCAGATCAGGTCTCCTTGCCTACCCAAGGCTGGCTCTCCCCAACGCTGGCTCTCCTGGCGCCGAGAGATCAGGTGTCCGTGCTGGTTGGGCAGCTTGCAAACAAAGCGCCTACCCTGCTTGGTGCAGGCAGGTCATTGAAACATAGGAACTCTGCCCACTTGGGTGCCCAGAGGATTCGGACCCAGTGCCCAGACAGGCTGGGCTGGGTGATGTTATGTGCCGAAAGAGGGCGGTGGGGCCAAAGTGGGGAGGGTTCTGGATGGAAGCTGTGTGGGCTAGGAAGAAAGAGTCAGTGTGCAGGGAGTAGAGGCCCTGCCGAGAGCCCAAGAAGGATAGGGGGCCAAGGAACCTCTGAGCTCCCCTTCCCAGGCTGGCGCCGCGGGGCCAGAAACTCACCCCAATGCTGGGTCTCCTGGCGCTGAGAGATCAGGCCTCAGAGCTGGTTGGGCAGGTCACAAACAAAGCGCCTACCCTGCTTGGTGCAGGCAGTCCATAGAAACAAAGGTTCAAACTACATTTTGTGTTGTCCCTTGCTCACCTTGCACCTTTTCATTATATAGGGCTACAGAAGTGTGGCCTTTGCAAACCAAGCCTCATAGTCAATACGAGGCTGCCTTGAAGTTTCTTCTATTAAAGCCATCAATCAACAACTGTTCATTTTAGTGTTGGGCAAGTTTTTTTTTTTTGACAAGGTCAGAATGCAGCTACATTCTTTGCCAAAAGATAATGAGAATGGTCTCTTTGCCACTTGCTAATATTTTCACACCCTCAAAAACTCCTTGAGCCATATCCCCAGTTCAAATCATCCTCAACTGTCTTCTATGCTTCAACTATAATGGCCAATCAACTATATGAGAAGTGTTCATCTGTTTGCTAATCAGAAATCCCCAAATCCTCATTCTGCCAAAAAGCATCATTTTTATAATACTTTTGATTGATAATTTCAGTTGGGGACTAGAGAAATGGTTTACTGATGAAGAGCACAACCTGCTCATGCAGAAGGCTCCTTAAAATCCTTCACATCCAGATAGCTGCTCTTTGTAACTTCAGTTGCAGGGGTGCTGGCACCATCTTGTTGCTTTTGGGCACTGCATGTGTTTGGTATGTATGGTATGTATGTGTATGTAAGTATGTATGTATATATGGCACATGTGTTTAGAAGAAACACATATACATAAAAGCAAATAGATACCTTAAATTTTTTATTAATCCTTTCACCTTCATTTTTTGGATTAATCTAATTGGTTTTCTGACTTGTCTTAAAATCTAATACAGAGTTTTATTTATTAATGCTTTTAGAATATATATTATTGTTTCCTTTTTGTCGTTTTTCTTTTTTATTGCAAGTTTTACTTGCACAATAATAATTGGTAGGGATATTTTTTATTTCTTAATTTTTATTTTCTTTATTGTTATTTATTTACTCATTCATCAGATATTTCAAGTATATCCTCTTCCTTAACTGATATTTGTAGCATCCTCAACAGCTATCAATTTGTTGGTACACTGTTAGTGTTACTGGTAAAATTTCACTGACATATCACTATATCTTGGTGCCCATAGTTTACATTAGAATTTATTCCTGTTGTGGGATATTTTTGTAAGTTTAATCAAATGAATGCACTCTTAATGCTACATTGACAAATGGGTTCATGTCCTAAGTCTTTTTGCCGCTCACTCTTCTTTTCTCCAATGTTTTACAGTGTTGTATTTTAGAGACAGATCATCACAGATGTGGAATTAGAGTATATAGACTTTTAATAATATTTTCTTCTTTTTCTTATGGTTGTAAGCTCAATAATGGTTTGTGTAGCACAGACTTTCTACTAAATATGTAATTTAGAATGGCTTTTGAGTTCTACTTGTCTCTCCAGTACTGGGATCTGAGCCATAATGCTCAGCTTAGCCTCTTTGCTTTCCTTATGCCTTTAATCCTCATTAGTTCATGATTTAATGATATTTCTTTTATGAGGTAATTTCTTCATATGAAGGTACTATACTATTTTGCCTTTTTCCTAGAAATAATACAGGTTCTGCTGTTGTGCTTCTTTGACACCATTTTATGTCAGTAAGATCTTGTCTATTCTAATACATATATGTAGACTATGATCCTAATTTGAAGTTCTATGATGTCAGGGGGTTAAGTTCTTACTGATGAATAGTGTGAGCTCTTTATATATTTTAGGTAGTAATTATCTGTTTCACAAATGTTTACGGGAGTGTCTTTTTTAAATCTACTGATTTTCATTTTTGCATAGGAAAATTCTTAAATTTAATGAAGGTTATCTTATTCATCAATTATTGAGTGTCGCTTTGGTTTTGCATTTACTTGAAGAAGTGGACAGGAAGTCCTTTTTATTTTTTTAAAGATAAAAGATGTAACAGTTCTTAGGTGTTGGAAAAAAATACTGTTCAGTGTTCAGTTCTCATATGTGATTTAAAATCTCATGTGAGAAAACACATGGAGAAAGCTTATGTATTTACAGTCATAAAAGTACTATCTACATATCATTTCATGTAATACTTCTGAAAATGTAAAGAAAGAATTAGTGTTATTTGTAATAAAGATATAGACATAAAAAGGAACTTTGCTCTGGATTTCTTTATAGCTGCCCACAGCCTGCCTGTAGTCTACTAGTAAAATAATCATTATTTTTATATTTATATATTTTATTTTTATATATTTATATCTACTTTGTCAGTTGGTCAGTTATTAATTATGTGTGCCTGTCCTAGAACCTACTCTGTATTCCTGGCTTGCCCTGTACCCACAGAGATCTGCCTGCCTGCCTGCCTGCCTGCCTCTGCTTGGTATCAAAGGCATGTGCTAAATATTCCCAGTCTCCAAAAAACAAAGAAGAAAGAGAGAAAGAAAGTTTTCTATAGATGTAAAAATTATATCCGTGAAAAATATATTATCAGTAAAAATACCCTAATTTTTTCTTCCTCCATAGTATTTTTCTAGAGTGTTTTTAGAATATATATTTAAAATTTGTATTAATATTTATGTTATATTGTTGCTTTTCCAGACATTGTTTGCAACGGTAACACTTTTTATTGCTAATAATTTTTTGTCTTTTAAACTGTTTACAGACTAAAATTGTCATATAATATAATCTAGACATGAATTAAAGTATATGATGAGATATGTATTGATTATATGCAAACACTTATTTTACATGAGGGACTTGTAGCTTTTAAAATCTGTAGATTTATTTATTAATTTATTCGCTTATTTATGTATTTATTTATTGAGTTTTCAAGACAGGGTTTCTCTGTAGCTTTGGAGCCTGTCCTGAAACTAGCTCTGTAAACCAGGCTGGCCTCGAACTCATAGGGATCCTCCTGCTTCTTTCTTTCGAGTGTTGGGCTTAATGGCATGCACCACCACTGCCTGGCTAAGAGCTGTAGATTTTTATATCTCTATGGTTTCTGGAAGAAGTTTTGTAGCTATTAAAGGATGAGTATATGTTGTTCTAATTTTAAACATTTTCTGTTTTCTTTTTAGTATATAAAATGTTATAGCCATTTGTTTACTTTTAAAAGAGGAATATTAATACTAAATTAAATATTTTTCTTTTTTCTCTAAATACCTGTTTTCCTTTCTGTTTCTTAGCAGAAATACCATTTTGCAAAAGAAGCCTATGAACAACTTTTACAAATTGAAAGCCTTCCATCTCAAGTAAAAGCAACTATATTGCAACAGTTAGGTACATAGAAACGTAACTTCTATCATACTTTATATCAATTTATAAAGTTTTAATAAGTCTAACAAAATATCTCTTTGCTGATCATTTTCCTTCAGATATTTGTGTTGTAGGATTAAATATAATGTCATGGATATTTTCTTATTTCTTTTATGAATACTTTGCCACTTTTGATCTAGTAGACTTGTATTTTTTGTTGAGCTCCTTGCATATCGTCACGCTTTTAAATACAACTCTTTACTGATCCCTCTTCCCTCCCTTCAATTATTTCTTTTTTTCAAGACAAGGTTTCTCTGTATAGCCATGACTGTCCTGGAACTAGCTTTGTAGACCAATCTGGTCATCAATTCATAAATCTACCCTTTTCTGCCTCCCAACACTAGGACGCTGGCTAATAATGTATCTATTTTATTTTTTTTCGAGACAGGGTTTCTCTGTAGCTTTGGTTCCTGTCCTGGAACTAGCTCTAGTAGACCAGGCTGGCCTTGAACTCCCAAAGATCTGCCTGCCTCTGCCTGGGATTAAAGTGCTGGGATTAAAGGAGTGCACCACCACTGCCCGGCTTATCTCTTTCTTTTTTTTATATATTTATTTATTTATTTATTATGCATACAATATTCTCTCTGTGTGCATGTCTGCAGGCCAGAAGAGGGCACCAGACCTCTTTACAGATGGGTGTGAGCCACCCTGTGGTTGCTGGGAATTGAACTCAGGACCTTTGGAAGAACAGGCAATGCTCTTAACCACTGAGCCATCTCTCCAGCCCCTTATCTCTTTCTTTTAAAGTCTTACTAGTGTCTCCCAATAATGAATGAGGGGATGACAGTACTTGAATACTTCCCACACTTGTTTTTTGGTTTTTTTAATAATGATGTTGATGAAGTGACAGTTTCTATACAACTATAATTTTAAATTGTTTAATTAGTTTTAATATAATTGTTCAAAAGTTATAAGATATCTAATTCTATAATTTCTTCAAGAATTTTTATGGTTTTAAAATACAGACAAAAGAATCTCTTTGAAAATAATATGAAACAATATCTGTTTCCTCTGTAAATATTGTATATTTTATAGTAATTTAGTAAAGCTTGTTATCTCGTTTGTATTACATTTTGTATTGTGGATAAAGTTTTTCTATTTGGTCCGAACAGGTGTTCAAAAGTTTTTGTTGACCTACTAGTGGCATGAATATTTTTTATGTCACTATTGATTTGTTCTTTCAAAACACATACAGTTTGTTTTTTGGAGTTATGTTTTGATGAACGTTTATTGGTCTAGTCAAAACAAATAGTTGTTTTACTTGAATATTTGGCATACCTCAATCCATTATTTATTTTGCTATAATAACTAGTAGTCTTAAGCAATTGTGTCCCTGGCAATAATTGTAATTTGTAAATTATAGGTTGGATGCATCATAATATGGATCTAGTAGGAGACAAGGTCACCAAGGAAAGGTATGCTATTCAGTATCTCCAAAAGTCATTGGAGGAAGATCCTAATTCTGGCCAATCATGGTATTTCCTTGGAAGGTAAGGCCAGATATTTGGACTCTCTATAGTTGATTTACACTGTAAAACACTTGCATATTTATTATTTATCCTTAATGATTTTAACTTTAATTATAATAACTACTAGGAGTTGAGATTGTAGTACTGAAATTCTTTTCTTTGAGACATTTTAATTTGTTCATTTTATTTTTTCATATTATTTTCATATTATCATGTTCTGTTGGGTTCTTTGCTAGTTTTTAATTTATTTTCAAATGGTGTTTATTATGAATTCCAGAAATTTGCATATAGTTTTAAAACAAAAGTTTATGTCGTTTTAAATTCAGTGTGGTGATTTTTTTCCCCATAATAATCAGGAAATATATTAATTACAGTTCAAAATTAGTATGCTACTTTAAGTATTTGTAAAAATATTAAGACGGGCAAGATGGCTCAGAGGGTAAAAGAACTTGTTGTCCAGCCTGAGATCTTTTTTTTTTATTTTTTTTATTTTTATTTTTTAAATTTATTTATTTATTAAGGATTTCTGCCTCGTCCCCACAACCGCTACCCATTTCCCTCCCCCTCCCCCGATCAAGTCCCCCCCCCTCATCTGCTCGAAGAGCAATCAGGGTTCCCTGACCTGTGGGAAGCCCAAGGACTGCCCACCTCTATCCAGGTCTCGTAAGGTGAGCATTCAAACGGCCTAGGCTCCCACAAAGCCAGTACGTGCAATAGGATCAAAAACCCACTGCAATTGTTCTTGAATTCTCAGTATTCCTCATTGTCCGCTATGTTCAGCTAGTCTGGATTTATCCCATGATTTTTCAGACCTAGGCCAGCTGGCCTTGGTGAGATCCCAATAGAACATCCACATTGTCTTAGTGTGTGGGTGCACCCCTCGTGGTCCTGAGTTCCTTGCTCGTGCTCCTTCTCCTTCTGCTCCTGATTTGGACCTTGAGATTTCTGTCCGGTGCTCCCGTGTGGGTCTCTGTCTCTGTCTCCTTTCATCGCCTGATGAAGGTTAATATTTCTGAGGATGCCTATGTGTTTGTCTTTGGATTCACCTTATTTAACTTCTCTAGGAACATGAATTATAGGCTCAATGTCCTTTATTTATGGCTAGAAACATCCCATGTTCCTCTCTTTGGGTCTGGCTTACCTCACTCAGGATAGTGTTTTCTATTTCCATCCATTTGTATGCAAAATTCAAGAAGTCCTTGTTTTTTACTGCTGAGTAATACTCTAATATGTATATATTCCATACTTTCTTCATCCATTCTTCCGTTGAAGGGCATCTAGGTTGTTTCCAGGTTCTGGCTATTACAAACAATGCTGCCATGAACATAGTTGAGCATATACTTTTGTTGTATGATAGGGCCTCTCTTGGGTATATTCCCAAGAGTGGTATTGCTGGATCCAGGGGTAGGTTGATCCCGAATTTCCTGAGAAACCGAAACACTGCTTTCCAGAGTGGTTGCACCAGTTTGCATTCCCACCAGCAATGGGTGAGTGTACCCCTTTCTCCACAACCTCTCCAGCAAAGGCTATCATTGGTGTTTTTTATTTTAGCCATTCTGACAGGTGTAAGGTGGTATCTTAAAGTTGTCTTGATTTGCATTTCCCTGATCGCTAAGGAAGTTGAGCATGACCTTAAGTGTCTTTTGGCCATTTGAAGTTCTTCTGTTGAGAATTCTCTGTTCAGATCAGTGCCCCATTTTATAATTGGGTTGATTAGCCTTTTACGGTCTAGTTTCTTGAGTTCTTTATATATTTTGGAGATCAAACCTTTGTCAGTTGCAGGGTTGGTGAAGATCTTCTCCCAGTCAGTGGGTTGTCTTTTTGTCTTAGTGACAGTGTCCTTTGCTTTACAGAAGCTTCTCAGCCTCAGGAAGTCCCATTTATTCAATGATGCCCTTAGTGTCTGTGCTGCTGGGGTTATACATAGGAAGTGGTCTCCTGTGCCCATGTGCTGTAGAGTACTTCCCACTTTCTCTTCTCTCAGGTTCAGTGTGTTCGGACTGATATTGAAGTCTTTAATCCATTTGGATTTGAGTTTTGTGCATGGTGATAGATATGGATCTATTTTCATTCTTCTACAGATTGACATCCAGTTTTGCCAGCACCATTTGTTGAAGATGCTCTCTTTTTTCCATTGTATACTTTTAGCTCCTTTATCGAAGATCAGGTGTTCATAGGTTTGTGGGTTAATGTCAGGGTCTTCTATTCGATTCCATTGGTCGACTTCTCTGTTTTTATGCCAATACCAAGCTGTTTTCAATACTGTAGCTCTGTAATAGAGTTTGAAGTCAGGGATGGTAATGCCTCCAGACAATCCTTTATTGTATAAGATTGTTTTGGCTATCCTGGGTTTTTTGTTTTTCCATATAAAGATGATTATTGTCTTCTCCAGATCTGTGAAGAATTTTGATGGGGATTGCATTGAATCTATAGATTGCTTTTGGTAGAATTGCCATTTTTACTATGTTGGTCCTCCCAATCCAAGAGCAAGGGAGCTCTTTCCATTTTCTGGTGTCTTCTTCAATTTCTTTCTTCAAAGACTTATAGTTCTTGTCAAGTAGATCTTTCACTTCCTTGGTCAGGGTTACCCCAAGGTATTTTATGCTATTTGTGGCTATCGTGAAAGGTGATGCTTCTCTGATTTCCCTCTCTGCTTCCTTATCCTTGATGTATAGGAAGGCAACTGATTTTTGGAGTTGATCTTGTATCCTGCCACGTTACTAAAGCTGTTTATCAGCTGTAGGAGTTCTTTGGTAGAATTTTTGGGGTCGCTTATGTACACTATCATATCATCTGCAAATAGCGAAAGCTTAACTTCTTCCTTTCCAATACGAATCCCCTTGATCTCCCTATGTTGTCTTATTGCTATTGCTAGAATTTCAAGCACTATGTTGAAGAGGTATGGAGAGAGTGGACATCCTTGTCGTGTTCCTGATTTTAGTGGGATGGCTTTGAGTTTTTCTCCATTTAATTTAATGTTAGCTGTTGGCTTGCTGTAAATAGCTTTTATTATATTTAGGTAGGACCCTTGTATCCCTATTCTCTCCAAGACCTTTATCATAAAGGGGTGTTGAATTTTGTCGAATGCTTTTTCAGCATCTAGTGAAATGATCATATGGTTTTTTTCTTTCAGTTTATTTATATGGTGGATTACATTGATAGATTTGCATATGTTGAACCAGCCCTGCATCTCTGGGATGAAGCCTACTTGATCATAATGGATAATTTTTCTTATGTGTTCTTGGATTCGGTTTGCCAGTATTTTATTGAAAATTTTTGCGTCGATGTTCATGAGTGAGATCGGTCTGTAATTCTCTTTCTTGGTTGGGTCTTTTTGTGGTTTTGGTATCAGGGTAACTGTAGCTTCATAAAAGGAATTTGGCAACGACTCTTCTGATTCTATATTGTGAAATACATTAAGGAGTATAGGTATTAGTTCTTCTTGGAAGTTCTGGTAGAATTCTGCATTGAAACCATCTGGTCCTGGGCTTTTTTTCGAAGGGAGATTTTTGATAACCATTTCTAATTCTTCGCGAGAAACCGGTCTATTTAGATCATTCACCTGGTCTTGCTTTAGCCTTGGTATATGATACTTATTTAAAAAAATGTCCATTTCTTTTGTATTTTCCAGTTTTGTGGCATACAGGCTTTTGTAGTAAGATCTAATGATTCTCTGAATTTCCTCTGTGTCTGTGGTTATGTCCCCCTTTTCATTTCTGATCTTATTTATTTGCGTGTTCTCTCTCTGTCGTTTAATTAGTTTGGATAGGGGTTTGTCGATCTTGTTGATTTTCTCCACGAACCAGCTTTTTGTTTCATTGATTCTTTGGACTGTTTTCTGGGTTTCTATTTTGTTGATTTCAGCCCTCAGTTTTATTATTTCCAGTCTTCTACTTCTCCTGGGCGCGTCTGCTTCTTTTTTTTTTCTAGAGCTTTCAGGTGTGTTTTTAAGTCCCCAATGTATGCATTCTCCATTTTCTTTAAGTGGGCACTTAGTGCTATGAACTTTCCTCTTAGCACTGCTTTCATTGTGTCCCATAGGTTTGAGTATGTTGTCCCTTTATTTTCATTAAATTCAAGGAAGACTTTAATTTCTTTCTTGATTTCTTCCTTGACCCAGGTGTGGTTCAGTAGTTGACTGTTCAGTTTCCATGAGTTTGTCGGTTTTTTGGGGGCAGCGTGGTTGTTGCCATCTAACTTTCATCCGTGATGATCTGATAAGACACAGGTGGACACTGATATATTTTTGTATCTGTGGAGGTTTCCTTTGTTTCCGAGTATGTGGTCAATTTTTGAGAGGGTTCCATGAGCTGCAGAGAAGAAGGTATATTCTTTCCTCTTTGGGTGGAATGTTCTATAGATGTCTGTTAAGTCCATTTGCTTTATTACCTCCAATAATTCTCTTAATTCTCTATTAGGTTTCTGTCTGATTGACCTGTCCCTTGGAGAGAGAGGTGTGTTGAAGTCTCCTACTACTAGTGTGTGTGGTTTGATGTCTGCCTTGAGTTCTAGTAATATTTCTTTTACATAAGTAGGTGCTTTTATATTGGGGGCGTATATATTCAGGATTGAGACGTCCTCCTGATGAATTGTTCCTGTTATGAGTATAAAGTGACCGTCTCGGTCTCTTCTGATTGATTTTAGTTTGAAGTCAGTTTTGGTAGAAATTAGTATGGCCACACCTGCTTTTTTCTTAGGACCATTTGCTTGAAACACCTTTTCCCAACCCTTTACTCTGAGTAGGTGCCTGTCTTTGTGGTTGAGATGTGTTTCTTGCAAACAGCAGAATGTTGGATCCTGTTTTCGTATCCAATCTTTTAGCCTGTGCCTTTTTATAGGTGAATTGAGCCCATTAATATTAAGTGATATTAATGACCAGTGGTTGTTTACTCCGGTTATTCTTATTGCTTTTGGTAGTAGAGATTGTGTGTCTCCCTTCTTTGAGATGTGCTGGTGAAGGGTCATTAGATGCCTGGGTTATTGTAGGCAGTGTTGGCAGTGTTGGATTCCTTGGGTTGCGA